CTAAAATCTAATAAATTATGTTACCTTTTACATTAAAAAGTATGTTCATCTAGTATTAGAGCAATAAAAGTTTTTTTAGTAATAAGAATTTCTTAAAAAAATCAATTTCGTCTAAAAAAAGTGACTTTTTTATACATATAGTCATACATTCATCAGAAAATTTTATAGAGATATATCGATTACTAACCAAGCAGATATATAGTATTAAACCCGGTATTAAAAATTTCGCACAAATATGCTGTGCAAAAAAATTTTTTATTTTATTTTCTGTGCATATTGCACAGTAATTGTTAATTTTTGTGCAGATAACAATACATGCACAACGAATTTTTAACACTGAGTAAACCTCTGTTGGGTTATATCGATTGTGATAGTAATCGACAGTCAATGTGCACAATGTACTAAGTGCACATATTTTTTGTAAAGTTATATATAAAATTTTAACTTGTGCACATTGTGCACACTTTTATGCCAATACATATAATATAAATCAAAATATAAATTTATGTACAATTAAGTTTATCAAATACGCATAAACTTCTATTAAAATATTTTATATTTTCATAAAATTCTATACATTATATACCTTTTTAATAACTACAACTAATCATTAATTACAAATTCAATTGTTCATAAGCTTGCGTTGCTAAAATTTCATCTCCAAAATTCCACATTCGAGTAAAACAAGTTTTCAAAATCCCGGTCTCTATTAACCCTCCCAAGCGAAATACAAGATCTACAAAAAGAAAGTATTAGTAACGGTACCAAAAAATGACAAAGAAAATTATGAACTGGTACTTATCTTGGTACCAATTCTGGGTTTAAGATCTTAATCCTGGTTCATATTAACCCTTCTTGGTGAAGCACAAAATTTACAAAAGAGAAAAAAAACATTAAACCCCACAAAAAAAATGACAAAACAAAGAAAAATATGAACTGGTACTTATCTTAATACCAGTTCAAGATCCAAGATCTCAATCCCGGTCCCCATTAACCATTTCCGGCAAAGCACAAGACCTACAAAAAAAAAAAAAAGACATTAATAACAACTCCAAAAAATGACAAAGAAAAGAAAAACTCGAACTGGTACTTATTTTGGTACCAGTTCCAGATCTAAGATCTCAATCCCGGTCCCTATTAACCCTTTCCGGCGAAGCACAAGACTTACAAAAAAGAGAAAAAGCATTAGTATCAACTCCAAAAACCGACAAAGAAAAGAAAAACACGGACTGGTACTTATCTTGGTACTAGTTCCAGATCCAAGATCTCAATCCCGGTCCTCATTAACCCTTCCCGGCGAAGCACAAGACCTACAAAAAAGAGAAAAAGCATTAGTAACAACTTCAAAAACCGACAAAGAAAAGAAAAACACGAACTGGTACTTATCTTGGTACCAGTTCCAGATCTAAGATCTTAATCTCAGTCCCCATTAACCCTTCCCGGCGAAGCGCAAGACCTACAAAAAAGAAACAAAGCATTAGTAACAACTCCGAAAAATGACAAAGAAAAGAAAATGCGAACTGGCACTTATCTTGATATAGTACTTATCTTGGTACCAGTTCCAGATCCAAGATCTCAATTCCGTTCCTCATTAAATCTTCCCGGCAAAGCATACGGTCTACAAAAGAAAAAAAAAAAAACAGTAAATAAATAAAAAAAAGAAAATCGATAAAAAAAAAAAAGATCAAAGATCGAAAAGAAAGAAGATCGAAAAGAAAATCAAAAAAAAGGAAAAAAGATCAAAGATCGAAAAGAAAGAAGATTGAAAAAAAAAATCAAAAAAAAGATCGAAAAAAAAAACTAAAAATTAAGATCGAAAGAAATTAGAAAAAAAAATAAAAAATAAAAAAAAAAACGTTAAACGAAAGTGAAAAAGTATGTGTAAAAGTAGATTATCATTCGTGCATAGTAGGCAGGATTGAAAACTTTAAAGGCGAATCGAGCTAACGAAAGTCAGAAAGTCGGAAAGGTATGACGTTGATGGTCTTGTCCAATCAGGGGTTAGATTTACTTGCGGCCAATCAAAAATGCAGGAAAGTGAGGCGTAAATTAGTAAATGCGCTGATCATTGTTTATTTTCTTTTTTTTGTTTTAGCCTGTGTAGACGTTTTACTAACCCTATTTATTTTTTTTTTTCAGACTTATAGATCATGAGTCGTTCTTGGTGTCATCATTATTGGAGCGTTGTTATTCGAATCGTTCTTGAATCATTGTTACTGGAATCACGGTGTTGAAATCATCGTTACAGGTATCATTCTTAGATCATCGTTAGAGCCTTTTGGAGTCGCCGTTACTAGAGCTATTGTTACTGGAGTCATGCTACTAGAGTGTCGTTAGTAGAATGAAGTCATGTTACTAGAGTCACTATTAGTAGAATTAAGTTGCGTTTCTTGTTTCCCACTGAGGTATTGCCGTTACAAGATTGTTACTGGTGGTTTCTCTTGTCTTTGGCGTGATTAACTGAATTTTTTTTTTCAGGTAGCTAGTTCATGAAACTGTCGTTTCTGGGGTCGCTTAAAGCCAGGTATATTATGGGGTTACCCGATATATTACCCAGATCAGCCTGAACAAAACAAAGCGAGATGACAAAGAAAAAAACATGAAAAATATAAAAAGTCGCCATCTAAACCAGTCTTGGTTCACTAAATAAAAGTGTCGGAAATGCGATTTTACTATAAAAATTACTTAATCTAACTTTAACTCTATTTTAATTAAAAATCAAAAAATCGGGTAAGCTCGTGATGTACCTAGCTTTAAGCATCCCCTGTTTCTGGTGTTTACTTGTTGATCTTTGTTTGTCTGATTCGTTGATTTGTGGTGTTGGTATATCTTTTATAATTTTATTTGTATCATCTGAGCTTTCCATGATTTTATTTTATTCTTTAAAATTATAACAATAAATATCCCAAGTACTAGGCCATTTTTTTGGATCAGAATCCATGCATTGATTAGCTAATTCAATATAGCAATCCGGGGTTGTAATCTATTGCAAATCTTTATTGCAAGATTATCATTAAATTGATAACTATCGAAAGGTCTTTGTCCAGTTAACATCTCTGACATAATGATCCCAAAACTATAAATATTGGCGGTTTCTATAAACTTTTGGCCCATCAAAACCTCAGGAGCGACATAAGGGATGACACCATAAATATCTGTGGTATTTTTTTAGATGTCATTGCTGGAGTTTCGTGTATGTAATCTTGTTTGGTGTTGTTAGTCTTCGTTGGTGTGTATTCATCACTTCAGCATCATTTTAGTTATTATTT